GGATGGATGGATGGACGGACTGATGGATGGGCAGGCGGGGAGGTGGCTGGGTGGAGGTCCCTACACACCCTTGTGCCCGCGAGCGCCAGCCCCGCGCTCCCGCGGGGCCCAGAGGAAGCCAATGGCACCTAAAAACACCGGCGCGAGAGGCCGGCCGGGACGCCGCCACCGCCAAAATCACCCCCCTGCTGACTCTAGGGATTTTGGTTTTCCTCATTTTTTGACGGCAGGCGCTTTCTGACTAATTTCCTCATTTTATTTTTGGCGCCTTCCCTAGCCAAGGGGCAGCGGATTCCCATCCAACTGGTCCCAGTGGTTCCGTGGCAGCTCCGGCTGGAGCGGGGGCTCCTCCTGTGCCAGGAGGTTCCAGCGGGCACCAGGCGCCTGTGCTGGGAGGTGGATCCACCTAAGGTGGATGGAGGATGGATGGATGGATGGATGGATGGATGGGCGGATGGATGGATGGATGGATGGATGGGCAAATAGATGGATGTCTAGATGGATGGATGGATAGCTGGAAGGAAGGAATGTTGGATGGATGGATGGATAGATGGATGGATAGATGGCCAGATGGAAAGATGGCTAGATGGGTGGGTGGATGGATAGATGGATGAGTAAATGGCTAAATGGATGATGGATGGATGGCTAAGTGGGCAGATGGATGGATGGGTGGATAGGTAGAGAGAGGGATGGATGGATGGGTGGGTGGATGGATGGATGGAAGGCTAAATGGATGGGTAGATGAGCAGATGAATGGGTGAGTGAATAGAGGGATGGATGGATGGATGGATGGATGGATGGATGGATGGATGGATGGGCAGGTGGATGGGCAGGTGGATGGATGGGTGTATAGTGGGATGGATGGATGGATGGATGGATGGATGGATGGATGGATGGGTGGATTGATAGAGGGGTGGATGGATGGGTGGAGAGATGGGTGGATGGGTGGCCTCAGGGCAAGACAAGAGCCAGGGCTGCCCAAGCCGAGGGCAGAGCAGTCCCTCTGGACACTCTGGAACAAGGGACCTCGTCTGCTGTGACATGGGSCCCAGGGGTGCTCGTGGTCCCCCTGCCCCATGCGCCTTTCCCAGCTCCTGGCTACTCCCCGGTGCTCCCAGACACCCACCAGGGCTCATGGAGTCCCGGGATCCCTGGGACGTCCCCATTGGCACCACCACTGCCGTGCCCGGCTGGCAACACCCAACCCGCCCCCCCTGCACCCCCGGCAGGAACAACAGCCGCAAACGCTGTCAACGGGAACTACGCAATGGGGAACRGCAGAGCTGGGCACCACGCACGCGGTGCGATGCCTTCGGGAATGGTGCAGCTGGGAAAGCGGGATGCGGCTGGCAGAGACCCCGGTGGGAAAAGGCGGCACCGGGG